CATGGCAGGAATATTCCCATTCAGTTTTTTTTTTTAAAACCATAAACTATAAAATGAACACCTTATCACACTGTATAGACGAGGTAGATATTTCCTGGCTGGACTGAAGCAACGCGGGGGCCATTTCTGTAATCCCAAATATCTGTCACTGAGTGAGTGGTAAAGTTTCACCATTGGCCGTTGCTCTTTCAGAATGAATGGGTGCAACAGTCGACTTGTTTGAGATGAGCCAGACCTGCATAATTTCACTCCACATCTTGCTGAGTGAACTGCAGGACGGTTAGGGATTTGTCCAACTTGCTCTCATAGAGCCCAGTCTCACTCCCAGGTCGTCAAATACCGACGATTTGTGCAAGGCACCCTTCAGTGTGTGTGTGAGACGCACCAGATTTTCACCTAACTCCTATGTAAAACCCATCTGCAGCAATATTAAACATGAACATACCCATTTTAAGCCAAAACATTATCTTTTCTCCTTAACCTAACCAAGTAGTTCTGTTGCTTAAACCCAATTGTGATGGTTTCACAATTTTAACCACGCGTTACAACATGATTGACCAAAATGACAGCCTCACCTCACCAGCCTGAGCTCATTCCAAGGTCGTCAAATACTGCCACTTTGTCAGGGATTTTGGCGTGCAACACCAACACCAAAAGCCATCTTGTCTGGTGGTGGGATTTACTGCTGGGTGGAGTCAGTTTGTAAGGTGGCCCGACAGAACCTTTCGCAGTGTAATATACACCATCAGTCGGCCGGACAGCACCTGTTATGGTAGTATGATATGCAGACCAGCAGTGTCAGTTTATAACGAGGCTGGATGGTTGCATGATACGCTGCTGAACGGCATCAGTTTGAAATGCTGCGGTAAACAACCTAATAGAAGGAGCTGGAAAGTCCCGACAGGATGGGCAGGAATGGTGGTGGATGGGTCCAACAAACCCTGGACTTTCACCCGGGTGCCCAGTGTTTGCTTCCACTGTAGAGTTAAAACATGATGTTTTTTTCTCAACCTAACCATGTGCTTTTGTTGATGTCCAGTGGTCTCATTTATAAACAATTGTGTACGCAGGAAACGAGACCTGAAAGAGGTGTACACCACTTCCCAGTGTTGTGACCTGACCTACTAACAGGCCTCCAATTAAAGTATCAAAATGGCCATGGGAAATAAATAATAGTTATTATCAATAATTATTGATTATGTATTACAATGTTACTTAATTTACATTAAATCACTTTGTGGGGCACTGTTCCTGAAAAGGGAAAAATGATCGCCAGTTAATAATATCAGTCTCATGAAACACTTAACTATCAATTTGAAACTCTTAGTAACAGTTAAATTAATAACTATAACCAAAGTTACCATATTAACAGCAAGTTAAAGGATTGCGGAGTTCTTGACATAGCAGAGGTTGACTCCTCATTCACTATTGTTCAGTATTAAACAGGCAGTAGGTACAATTCCAAATGTGTTTATTCATAAAGAAAGTAAAGCAAACAAAACACACAAAGTCTAACTAGTTACTATATACAAGCATGGGTGTGTATACTGTACGTGTGTATGTGTGTGTGTGTGTGTGTGTGTCTGACAACCACAAACTTTTTTTGAAGGCCAAATCAAAGATGGCTTCAGACAGGGGGAGGTTTTGCCTGACCTTGTGGCCAGGACAAAGACAAAGGAAAAGCAGCGGGAACTTCGGGTTAGCTCTTTGGGTGTAGCTATGTTGAAAGCCAAATTGTGAGAGAGCATATGTGTATGTGACCTGTCAGCTATGGTACTCAGTGGCAGTGGAGACGAAACCGAACCCTTCAGGGTTGACACAGGAGTCAAACAGGGATGTGTCATTGCTCCAACACTGTTCTCCATCTTTGTTGCCGCTATCCTCCCCCACACAGGCAAACATCTGATCCAGGGAGTCAAAAATATGTACAGAATCAACGGCCAACTCCTCAACATCAACTGATTCAGGGCTAAAGGTAAAACCCCCACCATTTCCATCATGGAGCTGCAGTATGCGGACGACAACGCCCTCGTAGCCCTCTCAGAAGAGGACCTACAGTGTACTCTGGCTGCCTTTGCAAAAGCTTACAAACAGTTTGGTCTAGCCATTAACATAAAAAAGACCCAAATCCTCCATCAACCACCACCAAACAGCAGTACGCCTGTCCTGCCCACAAACATCTCCACTGACAACACCAGACTGGAAAATGTGGACCACTTCCCATATCTTGGCAGCCTCCTATCTTCAACAACTGTCATTAATGATGAAATACACCACCGCCTCAGCTGTACCAGTGGGGCTTTCTCAAGGCTAAGAAAGAGAGTCTTTGAGAACCGCAAGCTCCAAGCAAAGACCAAAATCCTGGTCGATAAAGCAGTGGTGTTCCCCACCCTTTTGTACAGATCAGAAGCCTGGACCATAAACAGCAGGCACTTCAAAGCACTTGAGGTGTATCATGAGAGATGCCTATGAAAAATCCTTGGGATCAGCTGGGAGGACCAACGCACCAACACCAGCATCCTGGAGGAGGCTGACATTCCCACCATGACTGCCATCATTGCCCAAAACCAGCTCAGATGGACTGGTCACATTATCTGCATGCCTGACTCTCGCCTCCCAAAACAAGTCCTGTACTCCCAGCTGGTTGAAGGGAAACGTGCCCAAGGAGGCCAAAAGAAGAGGTACAAGGATAACATTAAAACCTACATAAAGAAGTGCCACATAGTCCTTAAAGCCTGGGAAGACATGGCAAAAGACAGGGCGACCAGGAGAAACCTTGTCCGTGAGGGCGCTGCACAGTATAATGATTACCTCCATTATGCTGCACAAGACAAGCGCAGAGTCAGAAAGTGGGAGAGCAACCATCAAACAGGCCCAACCCAAATCCACCACCAGTGCATTCCCCTGTCCACACTGCACAAGAATAATCGGGTCCAGAATTGGCCTCCATGCCCACCTGAGGACCCACAGGGACCAAGGAGGACAGTCATACTCAACTATGAGTGACCACAGATGATGATGTGATATGTGTTGCACAAGGTTTTGGGTTAAAACAGAGGATGTTTAGTTTCATACAAGAGTCTGTCTGTGTAACACATCAGCAAACTAACATCACTTAGCTTTGGTGAAGCCAACTAACCAATAAACTTACTGCAAACAATCACAACAATAACTCAGTGAACATCATTAAATCACAAATGACGAAGTTAAACAGTCTTGTTTTACCTTTACAACTGTAATAATGCTATGTCCAGTTGTTACGTTACCAATCCTTGAACAGATGGAGGAGCTGCTTTGTGGTGTGCTGCTTTTGTTAGCTGGCAGTTGAAGGCTGGAAAGAGCTTTGATTCCAGAAGCAGTCTATGTTGTGTCCTTGTTTCAAAGGCGCAGATCCGAGGAGGCAGGTTGCTCAGGATCCTTGCAGAGTTAGAAATCTGCTGCTAACTCAGCCTAGTTCTCCTTGTTGGAAAGTTAGTTGCAAACCTTGTGTCTGGCACACTAACTTATCTGGTCATCAGGTTGTGTGTCTGCTGGGAGCAGGCCACATTTAGAGCAAAACTGTGGCTCCTGCTGTGGGCATGTAAAGCTGAGAGAAGGGGAAAGGGTGGAGCAGGCCATCCTGTGTGATGCCTTACCTCTTCAACAGTTTTGGAGCAGGAGCGTGCTTCAGAATTTCAGGAGAAAAGAGCGATGGAGAGTGGAAACTTCTCCTTAAGTTAGCTTGGTGACATCACAAAGTCACATGTCACTGTGACAGTAGTGCCCAATCAAGTTTGAAGACTGGTCTCTCAATTAGGTGTAACAGTGAGGCATCCTGCAGAGGTGATCACAAATGGCTGTCCTTTGTTTGAAGTACAAAGAACATGCAGCCTCGGCCACCATTTTAGATGGTAAGACCGAGAGGAAAGGTCTTCACATGTCCAGTTTAGATCTTAACAAACGACTAATCATCTGTGGTCCAGTGAATCCCAACACAACACAGCAGATGTGATGTATAAAACCAGACTAGATGGGAGAAACTTTGACACATGCTTATGAACATTTTGGGAGATGGGAAATTAGCAAATAATCCATGTTAAATGACAGAAATTCAGAACATGAGCTTAGATATGCAAAGAATAACTTTCACTGGGTCTTAGACGCTATAAACAAGCAAAACACATCATCCAAATATCTCTTCCATTAGAATATACTGTATTCTCCCTCAAGCCATGATTAGAGTAAATTAACTTCTCTTCAAACAATGCCATAAACAAATTATAGAATGAGGGGGACAATAAACTACCCATCAGTATTCTACGTTTTTGAACTTTTGTGCCACAAAACATTTCATCTTTTCACCACCCGCTGCTGCGTTTTCAGTGGCATTCCTAAAATACATCAAAGCAAATCACCAACACTCACATTACATAAGGTCTGAACCCAAACTGAGACATCCACCTTAAAACTAAAACGTCCACTTTAAATAAAATGGCTCCTCCTCTGACTAAATGACAAACAGCAGAATACAGTTAATGGAATCTAAATGAAAACTCATCATCTTCATTACATCAAACAGATAACTGTACAAACATTTCAGATGTTTAAACATATGACAGATGATTTTAACCTTTGATACATGTAATCAAACATAGATTTTAATGTTTGGAAAGTTTCTAAAGTAGAATTTAAAATAAAGTTTGTTGGATCTAAACAATGATTGTTCAGATTTGTGCACAAACATGCAGTTACTGATAAATTTGAATTTGAACCCCATCAGCTTCCAAACAGTGGTTTCTGGTTTTCATTTCTCCACACACACACAAAACATAATTATAAAAAATGAACAATTTAAAATGAAACAATATTGATAAAAAAAGAAAAGGTGAAAAAAAAAACATAAACATCAAAAATTAAAATAATTTTACATATAAAAAATTCGACAATAGAAACAAGCAAAACAAAAAAAATCAAATAAAAACAGTAACGGAAACAAAAAAAAGTATATCTTTGGAATAATCAGTCATCAGGAGGACAGGTGCAGCATAACAGGTTAAATTCAGTGACTTTTCTCTTGAAGAAATAAACATCATAAATATAATCATCCTCTTTATCTCTAACTGCTCTGTTCCGCTGTCACACAGACCTTCAGCGGTAATATCTTTAGTTGATAAACACTGTAAACGAATGGAAACACCCTCTCAGTGAAAGTGTGTGTGAAAGTGTGTATGTGTGTGTTAGTATCAGGATCAGAGAACGACAGCTTTCCTCTGTTCCAGTCCAGATTCACTCTGATCCTCTGGAGCTTCTTCTGCACTCTGAGATCAGTGAGTGGACCTGGTAGTGACAGTGTTGAGTATTTACCTTCATGGAACCCTATTACCCATAATCCAGACTTTATGACTCCCTTCCTCTGGACAGACTCTGCTAACACACCCAGTAACCAGCCTGTACTGTCTCCAACCTCGACATCCCAGCTGTGAGTCCCTGAGTTAAAGCCCTCAGAGCCCAGGACACAGTAGTATTTATCAAACCTCTCTGGATTATCAGGAAGCTGCTGTCTCTGTCCTCGTCTCACACTGGTCAGATCTACAGACAGGATGAGGTCTGGATAAGCAGTGTTTGGGTCCAGAATCAGAGGAGTGTAGGAGACCATGTCCTTCATCTTGTTCCAGATGTTGAAGGTCAGGTTGCCCAGGTGTTTGGCCTCGTCTATCAGAGCTCCTGAGAGCAGCTGTGGATCATCCAGCAGGGGGCGCTGCTGGACTCTGTCCACTGCAGCCTTGTAGTTGAGCAGGAATGAGACGTCTTCAGCTCTCAGCTCGTCCTCTGTGGCTCTGACTGTGTCTGAAAGAGCTGCTATCTCTCTGCTCAGAGCCTCCATCTTCTCCTTCATCATCTGACTCTTCTGCTCCTCTTCCTCCCTCAGTGCAGCCATCCTGGCCTCCTCTTCCTCTTCTAGAAACTGGTGAAGCTTCTTAAACTGCTCCTTAATCTGCCTCTCTGTGCGTCGGGCCTGGACCTTCATGTGTTGTGCTGTTTGTTCACACTTCACTTTAACTTGTTCACAAACCTTTAACTTCTCCTTTAAGGGCTCCAGAGTTTCCTCAACTTCCTTCTTGTGTTGTCGTGCAGCTTCATCGATGGGTCTGAATCTGTGCTTGGTGTGTTTTTCTGAATCTCTGCAGACGAGACAAACTGGCTGCTGATGGTCCAGACAGAAGAGTTTGAGTTTCTCAGAGTGCAGACTGCAGAGAGCCTCTGAAGCTCTCTGATCTCTCTCCTGTAAGAAGGCCTCACACAGGTTCTTTAACACCAGGTTACAAGGTGGTTCAAACAAAGATCTTCTCTTACAAACTGGACACTCACGTTCTTGTTTCTGTCTCCACCATCTCTTCAGACAGTCTTTACAGAAGCTGTGGCTACATGACAGAATAACAGGATCTCTAAAGACGTCCTGACAGACCGGACAGCAGAGATCCTCCTCTGATCTGGAAGCCATTTAATCTCTGAGTGAAGCTGAAAACACAGCAGACAGAAAGTACAGTCAGTCATGGCTCCCCTCCCTCCTCTACTAACTTGACTGAAATGTACTTTGACTTTGAGTGGTGTTTTTAGTCAAACTCACCTTCAGTGTGTGGAGTGTCAGCAGGTTGAAGCAGCAGTGTTGGAGTTTTAGCTGAACTCACTCAGAGGAAGTTGTTAGTTTGGTCTGAAGGTGAATCTGATCGTCTCTTCTTCAGTCTGTGTGTCTCTCTGCAGTGAGGGAGAATAACAAAGTGTTTCCTGGTTTGTTGCGGGTGAGTCCGGTGAGGGTGGAGCTTTGTCAGACCTCTTCTGCTAAATGCTGTGGTACAACATGTAAAACAGGGGTTTCTTATTCCACAGTATTGAATCATTGCTGATATGCAGACTGATAGTGTTCAGCAGGCGGATGCAACCTACTTTTGTGTTCAAAAGTAATTTAAGTGTAGTTTGAAGGAAGTGGAGGAGTTAAAATACAATTAAGTAAAATCCTGAATATTGTGTGATATTCTGGGCAGGTCTGGAACGAAGGGATTTAGGATGCATGTGATATTAACTGGGGTGCACTTGTAGCTACACTGCAGGCCGACAGCAGCAATGACAAATGTAACAAAACATGGCAGGAATATTCCCATTCAGTTTTTTTTTTTAAAACCATAAACTATAAAATGAACACCTTATCACACTGTATAGACGAGGTAGATATTTCCTGGCTGGACTGAAGCAACGCGGGGGCCATTTCTGTAATCCCAAATATCTGTCACTGAGTGAGTGGTAAAGTTTCACCTTTGGCTGTTGCTCTTTCAGAATGAATGGGTGCAACAGTCGGCTTGTTTGAGATGAGCCAGACTGACACAGACCTGCATAATTTCACTCCACATCTTGCTGAGTGAACTGCAGGACGGTTAGGGATTTGTCCAACTTGCTCTCATAGAGCCCAGTCTCACTCCCAGGTCATCAAATACCAACAATTTGTGACGCAGAAGCCAAGGCACCCTTCAGCGTCTGTATACGCCATCAGTCGGCCAGACAGCACCTGTTATGGTGGTATGATACACAGATGAGCAGTGTCAATTTATAATGAGGATGGATGGTGAGATGGTAACATAACTGTAGATATTGTTGAATATTTTCTGGTGCACACCATTTTTGGCTTTTGAATGTACGTTCATTTTTAGTAAGGATCCTACGCATTGCTTTATAAATGAAACCCTTTGTGTGGGTTGCGCCGACTGGGACGTCAACTGCTGATGGAGGTGGATATCAAGTGCGTAGCACCCCCTTAGTGTCGATATGAAAGACAAAGGATGTCATGCTTTTATTTTGAAAGAGACTGTATGCAAACTGTACATTTCCTGTGAAAACAGAAGTGTATTTTGAAAACAGACAATGCATGTAACAGGCTGAAGTTGGCACGGCGTCCCAGAATGTCAACAACCAACACACCCAGCCTGCTCTGTGGTTGCTGGTCTTCATGGCTCCACACACACGACTCTGAATCAGTATGGACAGTATCAATCAAGAAAAAAGTTACATGAACCAAATATAAAGATCAGAAATTCTGTCAAATATTTTTATATTTTTATATATAAAAACCTTCACAAAATCCTGATAAACTTGTGCCAGACCTCGGGGAGGGCAGGCGCTGACCGCTGAGTTTCTGATTGCCGTGCTGCGGGCCAGCCCAAGAAAACCACATGGAGCCTCCGCTTTGTGGGCCCGTCACTCACTACGCATCGGGGTCGGTGCATTGTGTGCAGGGTGGCAGGCAGGGGCAGGGACCGAGGCGTTCTGACCCCTGGCTTCGCAGACTGGCTCTGAACCTCTCTGGTGGGGAAGGAACCGGAGCTGGTGCGGGAGGTGGAACGGTACCAACTATACAGACTTGGACTCACCTCTACGCACAGCAGTGGTTGTGGAACCAAACTCCTGGAGAGGGGCTGGAGTTGCCCAGGGTGAGAGGCACCGGGCAGGTGTGGGAATACTCTCGAGTCCCCGGCTGAGCGCCACTACAAACTGACGGGCTGAGAGAAGAACAACAGTATACTGTGTTAATGCAGCAGAGATGTATTACGCTGGTGGTGTATTTTACAATTAAAGCAAACACAAAGCTGTTAGTGAGCCTCGTCTGTGCTGCAGCTACTTGGCCAGTCACAGTTACTCACATCCTGTAGCTGTTTAGTTGAATTGACTGGATCAGGTTGATTTTATGTGTGATCCATGACAGCCTCATATTATCCAATCACTTCTGTTCATCCATCATGCCCTCATATGGAGCTGAGCGGTGAAAGACACAGATCGAGAGAACAGGAAGGAAAGTTGAGAGAGACAGAGAGGGAAAGAGAAACAGAAACAGTGTACCAGAACACCAGCTCTTGTTACAAACCACCAGAGACCCTCCTCGACTGCCAAAATCTCCAAATTTGAACCCAAGCTTTCTGGCTGCTAATTATTCCTCGAGCATGGTCTAAACTAAATTTATGACACTAAGCTGGCGCTCCTTGTGGCATCATAAATTAAACTGGCAAAGTGTTTTAGAATCAAACTAAGGCCCCCTGTCCTCCAGCAAAAGGAAGAAAAATTAAAAAGTGGTGAATGTAAACGTGGATATTCACAGAGCCAACTCTGTGACCCGCCTCTCCTTTTCTAAACAGCTGCCTTGTTAATTTTATTTTATTTTTTTGTATTTCTGTGTTCTGTGTTGTTGTTGTTTTTCCTGAGGCTGAGCAGAATAAACCGACAACAAAACCGGTTGTAATTTAATGAGTCATTGCTGTGTTTACAGTGACTGTTTAAGCACCAAACTTTGGTGTTTTTTATGGACCTGTGGCTGATTTTCCATCAGGCATAATGTCACAAAAATGTGGTTGTATTTTACAAAGACATCGCTGCGTTTCCATCAGGGACTGTTTCCCCAAAACCAGGTATTTTAAACCAAGCGGCAACCTCGGGGCTGAAAAATGACGCCAACACTGTTTTGCCATAAAAATTGCAGTTCCTCTAATGGCCACTTGAGGCTGGCTCCAAGATCAAGTTAATCCCCATAGACCCCCATGTTAAAATGCCCAACTGTGTAACATGTTTACAGGCTGCTACAAAAAACAGTTTGGGCTACAGCTGATTTAGCTAATTTCCATGTTTATTACGTCACTCACCCGTTTCTATTTTGATAAGGCTTAAAGTTACATAAAGGTAAGGGGAGGTGGAGGGAGTTTACTTTCTTACTCTCTGTTACCTATTTATGCCTCCCGTTAAACAAAATACTGGAATCAGCTTATAAAATATCTGTGATGTTTAAGGTTTTAATGGACCTATGGCTAAGCCACGCCCCCTCCACTCACTTGGACAAACTATCAACATTCAGTGAGCAGCACTATGGCAGGTGTCACAGTACACGGCATTTCACAAGAGGCAGTTGTTGATTTTTGGGGACATAACGATCAGATGTCATTGAGAAGTAACCAAAAGGGCCTAAACTACGCATTGGAGGGATATATTCATCATTTTATTGTTGAGAAGGTCGATGAAAAGCTTAAATTACAAGCCAAAATTTACAGGTCACAGTGTACGCTTGTGAACCGCATCTGGTTGCCGTCACCATCAAAGACAACAAGTTAAAGTGCCACTGAAGTTAAGGTTTTTGGCTCAGAATATGAGAAAAGGATAACGGCCTTTTTACCATCTTTACCAAGAGTGTCTCTCCGTTAGTTTGGTGCTACAGTATTTACACTGAATCATTCAGCATAACGTTTGCCAACCTTTGTTATCTCTGCCATTACAGATAAGTTAATGAAGCTAAGCTCCAGAAGTTAACGTTAGCTTAACTAGAGCCCTTTGGACAACAGCTAACAATGATGTACGATCACCAAAGTACAAAACTAGAACAAAATAGGCTAATGAACTCCCAGCAAACAAGGTGACATGATGAACAACGCAGCTAGGAGCTAACGTTAGGCTAACTTTAGCTAACGTTAGCTAGAGATGTTAAAGATAACTTTATATTTCTTTCCAGCAAAGTGACAATATGTTGCCTCAAACACAATGTTGACTTACCTTAGAACAGATGTAGACATCATTGTTAATCTTATTCACGTTGAGTTGATGTTGTGGTCTAACGTTACCACACAACTTTATCCAAAGGAGACACTTTTCTCGGTTGAGATGTGGTTTAAAGTGTAAAAAATACACCTGGTCGCCCAGCCTCTCAGGATACCTTGTGTCAGAGTTGCATGTACCCCATGCACACCGTTTGACCATTTTTAAACTTCAAATCTCCGAAAAAGCTCATAAAACCGAACAAACTGACTTTCTGTAATGCATTTCAATGGACGTCCAGGCAGAGAATGTCCCAGTGTATGGGGATGGCTATACGCACTGTGATTGGCTCATCGCGTCTGAGGGTGGGGCTTAGCCATAGGTCAAATGTAGAATATAAAGTCCCCCCAGGTTGCTAAATTCCTTACAATAAAATATAATAAAATAAGACAAAATTGAATAAAATAAAATAAAATAAAGAGGATGTGAGCTCAGCCCCAAAAGCAATGAATTATCACTACTTTTACTTTAGACACATGTTTCTAATTAATATGTACTTTTACTGCAGTGTCCTTTCAGTGCAGGACAGGGGCGTAACACCAATATTCTGGGCCCCTTTCGATGAACAGTCACTGAGGGCCCCAGCCCTTCCTCTCTTGATCTATGTCTCTCTCAATCACCTTTAGGCTTTAGCTGCGTTTAGAAATTAATCCTAGTGAAGAGCATCATAGTCTGGGGGAAAATGGGACTGATGTGTCAGAGCCCCATTGGGAGCGGGGCCCTCAAAAAGCCTGGAATGAAATGTTTGGTTTAATTTGCAAATTTTTATTTCTAATTAATTAGTACCATAACTTAATTAAAATTGTCTGAATACATTTGAATCAGGAGAGACAGAAGAATGAAGTAGAGATAATGTTTAATACAGAATATGAGCGTACAGATTAACAGATTATTTATGCTGATAAGATTCAACAAAAGTTTTTGGCGCTCAGACACCAGATGGGGATTTTTGTGGTGGAGGAGCATCTGAGCAGCAGCAAGATAAATCCCTCCATGGAGTCCAGACACTGGTGGTGGTGGTCATAGTGGCTGATGACTGATGAAGCGAATGAGGCTGAATCCAAGGATACTGGGTGGTGATGGGGAGATGGAGGGCATGCACTGATGCAGCATGGAAGAAC